GACTGAATGGTTGTTTGTCTCATTTGTCTCTATGTGTCCCTGTGATGGACTTGTGACCCGTCCAGGGTGTACCCCGCCCCTCGCACAGTGATTGCTGGACATGGGCATCAGCGACCCCCGTGACCCAAAATGGAATAAACGGGTAAAGATAATGGATGGATGGATGGCCTAAATCTCTTAAAGTGAAGGAGAATAATTTTTAAATAATAAATAAGATATATCCTGTAGCCATGTTTCTTGAAAGAATATTTAAATTTGAGGTTGATTTGTTGCCTTTTGTAAATCAGAAGATGAATCCCTCGAGTATGTTCTTTTTCATGTCAATACAAAGTGTTTGGTCAGACATCAAAAACTGGATTAATCTCAAACTGAACATTCCTTCTTCTGATGCTGATAACATTTTACTTTATGTGGATAACTTAAGCTCAGCTTTCTCTGATGCCATAAATATAGTCGTACTTATGGCAAAGTATCACATTCACTGTAGTAAGAGGAGGGATAATAATCCTTCCTTCCTGTTTAATGAACGACTTTAAGTCAAACTATTCTTCATTAAGTAGATTAAAAATCTATAAAACTGCTAAAATCATCTCACAACAGATACAAACTTATTGTTCTAATTAAAACAATGTTTCTCAAGAAAAAAAATGATGAGCTTGTCAGCAGGTAAGGGGCGTTTACCTTTGGGACAAATTGAGGTCATCGATTGGTCAGTTACTGACACGCCTTCTAAGTTGATTGACAGGTCGAGCCGTAGAGGATCCGATTGAAAAAAAGAAAAAACGGAGAGCTGCAGCAGCCGCGCTGGGAGGAGGCGGGGCTGCTGCCTGTCCTAACATTTGTTAAACATACGTTTTTCCAACAAATAAAAAAACATGAAAACTGTATTTTGACAGTCGATAAAACTAAAAAAATGTCAATGAGAAAGAGGAAAGAGGGGGCAGGTGACGCTCTCGCTTTGAGTTTATACTCTTTGTTTCTGCGCGCTGTGGGTGAAATGCGTCCAGAGCTGAGGACTTGTTAGCAAATAATAGAGTCCTAACATTTATTAAACATTACTTCTGTATTAAAAAACATCAAAATTGTGCTTTGACAAAACAAAACAAAAAACAAAAAAAACGTTAAAGTGAAAGTGGGCGTAACTAACGCGTGCAGCGGGTGACAAGGGTCACCATCTGCTCAGCAGCAGAGGGAAGCGACACGGTTCAAGCATGGCTCCTCAAACACAAGACATGTAGATGTCCATCCATCCATCCATCCATCCATTATCTTTACCCGTTTATTCCATTTTGGGTCACGGGGGTCGCTGGTGCCCATGTCCAGCAATCACTGTGCGAGGGGCGGGGTACACCCTGGACAGGTCGCAAGTCCATCACAGGGACACATAGAGACAAACGAGACAAACAACCATTCACTTTCTCACTCACACCTAGGGACAATTTAGAGTTACCAATCAGCCTAACATGCATGTTTTTGGTCTGTGGGAGGAAACTGGAGTACCCGGAGAAAACCCACGCATGCACGGAGAGAACATGCAAACTCCACCCAGAAAGGCCCCTGGACCAGGGTTTGAACCAAGGACCTGCTCGCTGAGAGGCAGCAGCTCTACCAGTTGCGCCACCGTGCTGCCCAACATGTAGATGTTCATAACTTTATTATTATTAAGACTGAGAGTTGCCGGATTTTAGCAAACAGTTGCCGAACGTACCCTGACACAATGAGAATGGTGCAAAAAAAAAAAAAAAAATGATAGAGGAAAAAAAACCTCCCTGCCGCAAAATGTTCCTCGGGGTCACATGCGCCTGCCCTGGCTTTGCTCTGGGCCCCTCCAGGGGGGCGAGCCCCACTATTTGAGAAGGACTGAATTAAAGTGATGTTACAGTGATTATTCTGGTTAGAGATTCATGAGTCTAACAGCCTCAGGGTAGAAGATGTTCCTCAGTCTAGTGGTTCTAGACTTAATGCTCCTCAACCTCCTTCCTGAGGGAAGCGGGGCATGAAGTGTATGTGCTGGGTGAGTGGGGTCCTTCATGATGCAGGTGGCCCTCTTCCTGCATCTGGAGGTGTAGATGTCTGTGATGGTGTGGAGATTGACCAACATCTTCTGTGCAGCCTTCACCACTCTCTGGAAAGCTTTTCTTTCTGCAGCTGTGCAGCCTCCATGCCACACATTGATGCCGGAGCACAGGATGCTCTCCACTGCACACCTGTAGGTGGTGAGGACTGAGCTTCCCAGACCAGCTCGTCTCAGCCGCCCGAGAAAATTGAATCTCTCATCTTTCTTGATCAGGCTGGTGTTGTTGTTGCCCCAGCTGAGTTTGTCATTCAGATGTACACCCACATACTTGTAGCTGGAGACCACTTCCACCATAGATGTTCGGGTGGGGAATGGTGGTTGTGGTGGTGGTGGTGGTGGTGGGGGGGGGGGGGGGGGTAGGTGTGTTTGTTCCGTCTGAAGTCCACAATCATCTCCTTTGTCTTCTTAACATTGATGTGAAGGTTATTCTCTTTGCACCAGCTCTCCAGGTGTTCCACCTCCTGTAGCTGGACTCATTGTTGTCTGTGATGCATCCCACCACTGCTGTATCATCTGCAAACTTTACAATATGACAGCCTGGATGGGTAGGTGTACAGTCATATATTAGCAGAGTGAACAGGAGGGGGTCCAACACACAGCCCTTGGGGAAGCCAGTGCTGAGTCATGATGGAGAAGTTGTGGATCCTCACAGACTGTTTGTTGCGAAGTCTAGTACCCAGTTGCAAATGGAGGGGCTTAGTTCTACTGTGAGTCGTTTGTTCATCAGGGTTTTCCCACAGCTCAGAGTTGTGCTGCAGTCTAAGATGAAACATTCACTTATGAATGGAACCAGTGGTGGGAATGGTTCCACCCACTAATAGCAGGACTAACTTTCAGTTTAGTGAATTAGCGTTTTCGCTAGGTTTGAAACCCTTCAGCAGAATTAGCTTCCACAAAATTTAAATTTGGTAAATTCAAGTCGCTAATAAAGACAAGTCCTCGACACTAAAAGCGTAAAGGAGAATGGTAATTTACACGGAGTGATGCTATACTATGCAGAGCTAACAAAGCCAAGCACCACCCGGTGATGTCACCAACTTGGCAGCCCCCCCCCCCCCCAATACAGTCTCACGGTGTCAGTTTACAACCAATAAATGCTTAACGAAACTAGAACAGTAAAATAACATGAACCCATTTTCACACTAAGAAACATCATAAAATCAGAAATATTGCACACATAATTCCTACCCAGCATGCTTTGCAACGCTCATACTGTCTCTGGGACGGGACTCTCTCACACATGATTTCACACCTTTACTTTAATATTTCTTTCTTCAGGGCTTGCCACAGCGAGCAAACGCAGATGGAATATATGGAAATTGTTTTATGCCCAATCCTGACTCGACCTGGGCTTGAACCTGCAACCTCAGGATTACATGAGTGCAGCACTGACCACCAAGCTACTGCAGTCCCACACATCTTTACTTTTATACAGATTTATTAGAGAATAGTGATGACACACAACAACTTTGTAGCTAGTTTATAAAAGTAGTTAACCCCAAAGAGGCTCTCCAAAGTGAGTTAATTCATTTTAGTGAATGACACAAGGGAGGCGTCCGACAGACATCGAATGCATCACTCTGCTTCATCACAGCAGTTCTGTTCTGCCTCTTTGGTTCTGATGGGCCAGATTAATTTCTGAAAGCTCACCTCTGAACAGGGCGTGGATGATTCACTTGTGATTTATGAACTGTTTTGAGTTGTGTTCACTTACAACATGATCACTTTACAGTTAACTTGCAGTGTCACAGCAGTGTGTGATAAAAAGATCTGTTTAGCAGTTTAGTGTTAGTGAAACGAATATTTTAGTTATCAAATGAGTGGTTAGCAAAGATACCAGTTTGGTTAGCTGTGCCCACCTTAAAGTGGAATAAATAACTCAGAACTTAAGAGCCAATGATTCATTTGTAAACGTTTCATTACAATCTGTCTGGTTGGTAAAACACAGGAAAAACATTTTGACCGTTTCAGTTTGGAGGCAAACGAACACATTTTAATGACACTAAAACATCACAGCAGACTGGCCAACAGGGATTTATGATTCATTTGAAGAATGAGAAGCAACCTGAAATGGATCTGTGAGTACAAACCAGCAATACAAAAATGAGTTTGTATACATTGATTAAAAACATCTTCCAGTTTTCAGTTCGTTTCTCTCTACAGCCGTTTCCAGATTGGAAAATGACAATAATGTTTCCCAGTTCTGCACAGGTTAGAGTCCAGATCCAGGGAGCTAGTCATCTTTAGGTGCCCCCTTCAGACTAGACTTCAGCTTCTTCTGGTCCATCTGACCCATGACACGGTACCGTTTTTTCTGTGCCAGCTTTTGTCTCTTTAGTTGGGCCTCCTCCTGCTTCTCCTTCTGCTGGAGGAAGTGTTTGTGTTTGGCATGCTGCGCTGTGTGAATCTTCTTCTTCTTGTAGTTGTGCACGGTGCTCAGAGCCTGAAGTAGTGCTGCCACCTACAGGAAAATACAATCATTAATAAGAAAACAACCAGTTTGTAATGGCAGTAAACAGTGGGTACACAGCGTAACAGACCTACACAAATTACTCCAGATGAATAAAGCGGGTAATGGTTATAACAGTACTTTAGAGTGGTGCATGTATACGTATTTCATTTCATTTTTCATTTCATCTTTATTTAACCAGGCATAAACACAAAGAACAAGAGTCTTATTTACAGCTGGCCTGGCAGCACCAACAGGTTCTTGTAGGGTAAAGAGAAGGGAAACAGTACAGTTAGATAAAACAATAAAATATAGAAGTCAATAACAAACAAGGAAATCACAAATTACATTAACAACAACAAAAAAGGTTGAATCATGTCATCTGGACTTCGTTTTT